CATTTTTGCAACAAAGAGTTATATATCAAATAACATATTGACAGTTTCCACAATCCAGATCTACACATACAAAGTAAGCAGTGGGTCATTGTGATCCTTTCCAAGATGAAGAAGGAATGTTGTCTCCTAACGAGGTCTGGCTGATGCAGCACAATACACATTAAAAGGGAGGAAGGAGAAACAAAGTGAGAAAGAAAATGTTTATGTATTTTTCTTGTCTTGCTATAAAATATGAATTTTATTTCCTCGGATGAAGTTCAAAAGCTTTATGTTACATAGAAGAGCTTTTCACAAAAGTCCACTATATTAGTTTCCTCTTGCTACTGTAACAAATGATCACAAATTCACTGGTCTAAAACCACACAAATTGGAGGGGATGGGTATAGCTCCCTGGTAGAGTGCATGCTTAGCATATACAAGGTCCTGGGTTCAATCCCCATGCAGATTTGGAGTCCAAAGGGAGTCTTAAGGAACTAAATCAAAGTGTCAGCAGGGCTGGTTGCTTTCAGAGGTTCCAGGGAGACTGTGTTCCTTGCCTCTTCCACCTCCAAAGGCTGCTGGCATTCCTTGGCTCCTGTCTGCATCCTGTCAAGCTTTAGTTCCCTGCTCAAATTACTTCCTTCTCTACTGTCACCAAATCTCTCTCTTCCTCCCTCTTATAAGGACACCTGTGATTACATTTAGGGCCCACTCAGATAATCCAGGATAATCTCCTCATTTCAAAATCCTTAATCACATCTGCAAAAATCCCTATTGCCATAAAAGGTAACAATCCCAAGTTCCACGGTTTAAGGTGGAACATCTTGGTAGGAGGCATTGTTCGGCCTGCCACAACTATATCATGTAAGACTCCATTCATATGACATTTTGGAAAATACAAAACAAGAATGACAGAAAACAGATCAGTGGTTGCCTGGGGCCAGGGTGGAGGTCAGAAAGGAACATTTTGGGGTGGTCAAAATGTTCTACATTTTAATTTTGGTGGTGGTTACATGACTGTACACATTTATCAAAATGCCACAGAGTGGGAGAAAGATAGTAGGAGGAAACAATAGCAACATACAAAAGGGACGAGGTTGGGCGGAATCCAAAATATAAAAGGAACTCATAACATTAAAAAACCGCAAACTGGGCTGCAGCGCTGGAGAGAGCACAGGACTCCACAAGACCGCTGTTGCTTCTGACACAACTGCAGGGTTCATGGGGTTCCCCAAACCACCCTCAGGGTCAATAATTCATCAGCTAGAAGGCCTCATAGAATGTACGGCAAGCTGTTATACTCATGGTGACAGTTTGTTAAGGTAAGGAATACAGATTAATATCAGGCAAGGGAAGTGCACATCGGGTGATGGAAACGCTGTGGAATTAGATGGTGGTGATAGTTCATTATCGTGAATATACTAAGCCCACTGAATTGTGTACTTTTTAAAAGGGTGATGTTTAAGTTCCAAATGTGGAACTTCCATTGTCCTCTCCCCAGGGAGTCATGGACTTCACGCATTACTTCCCCAGCACTGATGTGTGACAATACACATGGAGCGCCGCCAACCAGATCGACTTTGCACCTTGGCGTCCAGAGCCTTTGCTGGGATTTCATCGTGAAGCCGTGGCTGACTGCTCACACAGTGCATCTGTTGCCAACTCCCCCAGGTGTAGCCACTTGAGCTGAGTGTCTCCACCCTAAACCACACTGCTAGACAATTCGGTATGGCCAGACCCCACCCTGAACAAAGACATTTCTATCAGGCCTGACATTCCAAGGGTTTAGGCATTATCTCCCAGAAGCTGAGGGAAAATGGCCAGATCACTCTTCGGGCAAATTTCGATTTTTCACAACACAAAAGCAAATGATTCCAACCTTAAATTCACCGGAAAGGAAATAAAAGGAAATATGGCTGATAGTATAATGATATTTTTATGTCAAGAGCTGGTGAGGTAGGATACAGTGAGTAAAGTAAGTTTTCATTTATCATGGTAAACTATTAAGAGAGAATATCTAATGCTGATAAATTAAAAGGCATATTTAGAGACTATAACCATTAACCACACTATGAATAATGCTGCTTATAAGTGAATTATTCTTGGGAACAGGACTAGAAACAGGCAGCCATAGGATGAATCCTATTTTCTTTGTATGTGTGTGTAACATTTTTAGTGATGTGACATATTATGTTAATTTTTTAAAATATTAAAAAGGGTATGATAATTTAAAAAAGGAAATATGGCGAATTTGCTTAAGGAGAAACTCAGCTCCACTAGCTAAGTATTAGGAAATACAAATGGAAACAATAAGTTTTTTTTTTTAATCTCACCACACTTATCTAAGGGGGGAGGCACATAGTTAAGCCCTACTCTTAGTGGGGGTGTCAACTAATATGGTCTTTTGGAGCAATTTGGCAGTATCTATTTTTTAAAAACCACGCAAATACCCTCAATCCAGTGGTTCTTCTTTGAAGCTGGATCCACACGTGTGCAAAGATGTGTAAATAAGAAGGCTTCTATAATATTCTTTGTAGTGAAGAACAACTAGAAATCTCTTAACTGTCTACCAACAAGGGAGGGATAATGTTACAGCCATTCTACCAAACATTATGTGACATGTAAAAAGAATCAGTTCAGTCTTCATGTGCTGTCATGGAGAAATTTCTAAGGCATGTTAAGTGAAAAAGTCATTTCTATGTATATAGTATTATCCCATTTTTTGGTAAAATTTTTAAAAAATTACACATAAAGCAAGTCTCTATAATTTTACGTATTATATGGTAAAAAAAAATAAAGAAGAAAGAAAAGATCTGATGGGATACGCCAAACTCTTCTCAGTGATGATCTAGAAGGAAGGGTGCAGGTTTGGAGATGTGTGTGTGATGTGCAATGAAATACATTCATGAATTAATTGTGCACTTTAAAATAAAGAAACCAAAACTAACCAACACCACAGCACCAAACATGGGGCCAACTGGAAAAGTGTTCAATCAATATTTGCTGATTATAATCAGCAGCCTCCTGAAGTTGGTTTCTGGAAGTTGTTGGATGAATCCAAGGGGACTCTTTCTGTGAATTTTTAAGAATTGTAAATCAAATGGTGTAACTGCCCTCCAATGATCTGTTTTTTTATAATAAAATCCACTCTATTACCAAGGGTTTAAGATCCAGGTGATCCAATCCCTGGCTGCCTCTCAAACTTATGTCTCCCCAACCCCTTCAGCTCAAAACTTTCTGTCTCCCCTCAGACTTCAAAGTCTTTCCTGCCTCAGGGCCTTTGCATGTATGGTGGTTTTCTCAGCCTGGAATGCTCTTTTCTCTCTCTCTTTCTTCTTTTTCTTTCATCTCTTTTTGGCCTAGGGGGGGTAATTAGGTTTATTAATTTTGTTAATAGAGGTACTGGGGACTGAACCCAGGACCTCATGCATGCTAAAGCACGTGCTGTACCCTCCCCCCGGAATGCTCTTTTCCTGTCTGGTTCTTATTCATCCTTCAAGTCTCTGATGAAATATTTAGACTTTCAGTGACCTAGCTATCTATGGCACCCCCAAATCTCAATTATTCTTTCCCATGGCATCTTGTTTTTCTTGTAGTAACATCATCACGAATGGCGATTATCTATTCATCTGTGGGTTTTTATATCTGGACTGTCTGTCTCCAACATCGGACTCCCTGAGGGTGGGTCTCTGCTTGGATGGCTCACAGCGCTATCCCCAGAGCACACTAAACATCTGCTGGGTGCCAGAATCCCTAAGGCCTCTCCAGCATACCCCAAGGGAGGGCAGGCCCAGCACACAGTAGGGGCGTGGCCAGAGTAGGGAGGCTTTGCAGAATTAAGGAGAACTGAGACCAGACTGGTGCTGCAGGTGATCTGTGTGGAGACAGCCTGCTCAGATGCCGCGGGGCGGGGGGACTAGTCCTAGGACTTGACGGACCCTCTCCTCCTCATCCCCTGCTGGCTCTCTGTCCCACCCCTCCAACCTCCATCCCAAGAACCCAGGGCTTCCTTAGTGCCAGTGGAAGCTCTGGGTGGGCATCAAGTTCCAGCTTGGGGACAGGTTCCTTTCCACTCTTTCTGATTGGGGGCCAGTGAAGTTGGTTTGGAAGAAAAGGTCGAAGTCAAAAACAATAAAACAATACGGTGATTGAGCCTTGCTTGCTGCCATTTGAAAGGAATGAAAGTGGGATTAACCAAAAACACAAAATCCCAACCAAAACAAAAACAAAAACACTCTACTGTTTCAGAATCTGCCTCAGAAAACAATCATCTTATTGTCTTCTGTGTCATAGTAAAATTAAGGGTTTACCCAAAGCTTTGTTCTCACACAGCTTTTGGGCTCACACAGTCTGCAAAGAGGCTGGGCTCTGGGTAATGATTTTGCAGCTACCAAGAAGCACTCCTCATACCCTGGGTAGCTACCTTAGATGTCGGGTGGAAAGGAGGGTTCCAGTGCATTGCAGGGGTAGGGGGCAGGATGGCGGGGAGGTTGAATATCCAGTTGAATAAGTATCAAATGTCACCTTCTCTGAGATGACCACTCTGTCTAAAAGTTACCTCCTGGTCATCTCTGTCACATTCCCGGTTTTTTTGTTGTTTGTTTTTTTTGTTTTTTGTTTTCAGTTACAGCATTTGTCACTATGTGAAGTTATTTTTTTCTCTCCAGTTTATTACTTGTCACCCCAGTAGAAAGTGGGATCAAAGAAGGCCTCGTGTGGTTTGTTGTCTGTTGTATCCCCTGGGCCTGAGATAGGGTCTGACATATGATAGGGGCTCAGCAAACATTGGTTGATGGATAAACGAATGAGTGATCTGTTGGAGTCTCTCTGGCCTGAGGAGGGTGTGTGTGGGTGTGTGTTTGTGTGTGTGTGAGAGAGAGAGACGGAGGTGGGGGAAGAGTGTTTCAGGTTGCAGGGGGAGCAATAAAACCTTAACTCCAGCATTATCTCCTGTCTTCTGAGTTAAACCCCCACCCCCACCCATGGCCTGCCGGGAGCTTTCCGTGCAGTATTGCACTTACCCTGTGTTGTGAGGTCCATTTATATATTCCTGTATTGCAGTCCAGGAAACTGAGGCTCAGCGATCTTCTAAGTTACTGCTCAGTCTGTTCAAAAGAGAACACCGCATCAATTGAGTTGTAAAAGCACCGCCCCCTTCTACGTGCACTCCCAATTTACCCAGACCCTCCCCTCTTAGGTACTCGGTCCCCCAGGGATACCGATCCCGCTTTAAGCGGAGACTTCTGAGAGGAACAGGCGCTCGCCTGAGCGAGCGCACACAGCGTCCGAGAGTCATCCGGGAGGGAGCCAGTAGTGGTCTGCTCTGCGACCTGCCACCAGTTTATCTCGAGGCTCGGAAGCTACGAGCTAGGAGGCCGCGGAGGGGCGGTCAAAGTTGCCTCAAGTGTGGGGGGGATTGCCAGCAGGTGGCTTTCCCGGGGAGAGAAACGTGCTGCTATCTAGGCTGCTTCTGGCGGACCCATATCATTGGCCGCGGCCTCTGTTTCTCCGTCTGTAAAGGGATGGCAACTTCATGTGGCTCGAGGCTGGACCAGCCAGTGGGGAGCGAAGGGTTAAAGGGGCGGGGCCCGCGGCGAGGGCGGGGCCGGGATTCCGGCCGCACCTGGCGACTCTCTGCTTCGCTTCCAGAAGCCGCTCGT